ACCCCCCCCCCCCCCGCCTTCGCAAACTTGATAATTCACTCCAATCCCACGCGCCTAAAATACTCTCTGGCGTGAAAAACAAAAAAACAGGTGCGAACGCTGGCGCTGACCACCATGATCGACGTCTCGGCCCCGCGTGCCGCTCGGGCGTCAGCGTCGAGAGTGGTTGCCCTCATGGCAACCGCCGGCGGCGAGTGGCCGTCGGGATGGGGCGGGCTGATACCTTCGCTTATCGGGCAGCTGGCGATAGCGGCGGCGGCGGTTGAGAACGCGAGGGCAGAGGCGGGGTCGGCGGAGGCACCGCGGGGTGGGGTAGGGGGCAGGGGGCGGGCGGGGGAGAGAGCGGAGGCGGCGGCGGTGGCGGCGGAGCACGCCGTGGCTAGGGCGGAGTCGTGCGCCAAGTGTCTGCAGTACTTGACGGAAGAGGTAAGCTGGCTACATAGCCCTGGGTTTGCCCCTTGTGGCAGAGATGAGGCATTGACGAATTGATTGTTTTTTCACGCACGTGTGAGAATCGGATGATAAGACCTGAGCGTTCGTGCTCTAGGGGTCCCCGCGGACCGCGATCACATGGTGAAAGCGCCCGACGGTTTTGACGTCACTTGGCCACAAGTACATACCAAGTATCACGGAAACACAAGGCAACAATGGTAACGACAATTGCTGCGTCGCTGTTGGCGTGCGTGCGTGCGTGCGTGCGTGCGTGCGTGCCACCGCAGGTGCCGATGGAGCATGTCCCCGAGGTATTCCAGCAGGCTTTTCCGGGTCTTGTTGAGGTGAGAGAGAGAGAGAGAGAGAGAGAGAGAGAGCAGAGGAGGAGGAGGCGCGGTGATTCTTCTGCCGCACAGGCAAACTACTTTGGTCGTGTAGAACAGGGCTTGTTCGCCGCGTGCCGCTGCTGCAAGTAGGGCTTACCGGCGGCATTGCTACCACGCTGCTGCTGCTGTGGCTGCTGCTGCTGTGGCTGCTGCTGCTGCTGCTGCTAGTATGCTGTTTGGCACTGCTGGGTTTTCTTCTGTGTGCTTCTGCCTCGCCTGTTGTAGCTGGGTCTCCATCTGCCTTGTGGTGGCGGGAGCTATCCTCGCCTCCACCTTCGGCACCCTCTTTCTTCTGCCACCACCGCCACAGAGCTCTTCAACCACAGAGCTCTTTTTTCTGCCATCACCCCCCCCGCTGCTGCTCCTGACTACTTCTGTCGCCAACCCCCCGCCCATCCCGGAACGACATGATGCCGCCGCCGCCGCCGCTGCTGCTGCTGCTGCTGCTGCTGCAGGCTGGCAAGGCGGACTACCTCCCGCGTAGCATCCGAAGACGGGTGTTTCGGATCGTGCGAGAGCTCTTCACCTCCATCGGAACCCTCGTCAGCGTCCGGGGAGAGACCCGGCTCCTCCCAGGTCTTCAGGTACCTAAAAGCTGTAGCCCTAGGGCGACGCAAGACACCTCTCACCCCATTGGACCGATTTTCAAAGATCGATTTTCTCCACAGCGCAGACAGCAGCGGTGCCGAAAACGGCGGGGTTGAGAAGCCGTCTCGTCGAGAGCTTTCCGAAAACGGCGGCGTTTTCTTTTTTTTTTTGGCATCCTCCTCGTAGCGGAGTATTTTATTCGAGCTATGAACGTGGGTCCAACGGGGTATCGTGTGTCACGTACAACGGTAGGCGCGTGATCTTGAACTCTTTTGAGTTCGGCTTGAGAAATTGCTGCGCGATTAGTCGTTTCTCCGCTTCCTACTAGTGTGCGTTGTGCTTAACGGTAGCTCCCTTGCTTTCTCTCTTTCTTTTCTTTTTTCCCCTCCTGTCTTTCGTTTTTTCCGCCGCTCGTGTTTGGTCTCTCCTCCCACTTCGACAGCAATGCGTGCCCCCCTGGCTTCACCTCGTGTCGAAGACTCTGCAATCGGCTGTGGACGGCAGGGCCATCGGTGGTGACCGCGACAAGAACGGCGGCGACGAGGAGGGAGGGGGGGGCGATGACGATTTCGGCGTCGAGCTTGAGGGCCTCCGGACAGCCATGGTGCTGTTGGCGCACGTGCCCTCGTGAGTTGTCGGACGTTTCTCAATTGCTGCTCTTTTATTTACGCAGCTGCTCTTGCTGTCGCCAATTCTTGTTGTGTGAGGCGGTCTTGTGTTCTTCAGCTGTCGTGTGTTTGACGTGGCGCAAGTGCGTCCTTGCCCTCCGACAAGCAGGTTCTTCATGCGCATCCCCGCCCGCCGCTTACTCCCGGTTTTGGCCCCTCTCCGCGCTGGCCTTCCTCTAATAACACCGTGGGCCTTTCGCCCCGTGCCTTCCAGTCCGACGTTTGCGCGCGGCACATGTTTAATAACTCCCACCGAATGTGGGGACAATGCTCCGTCCTCTCGCTTGGTAACCGCTACTACTGTATGGCATGCAAAACACGAGTACGCCCACCATCGAATGCCCCCCTTTTTTTTTTCTTTTTCCCAGGACCGTCGGGGACGGGCACTTGGGCCAGCTCCTGCCTCCTCTTTGGCAACTCCTGACGGATGGCCGGGAGCGGCACGAGCAGAGCATGCTGTCTAGCGATGGTAACGGCGAGGACGGGGATGAAGATGGTGATGGTGGCGACAACGAAGGGGGAGGAGGTGGGTGTTGCTGCTTGCTGCTTGCTGCTTTCTGCTTGCTGCTTGCTGCTTGCTGCTTGCTGCTTGCTGCTTGCTGCTTGCTGCTTGCGGGGGGGGGGGGGGGGGGGGCCCCCCGGGAGGGGGGGCCTTTCCTTTTTTTTTTGCCCCCGGGGTTTGGGGCCGGGTTCCCGTTTTT